GTATCCTCTCCAACATTTACTGCTTGCTGCCCTGCTAAACTTTATCATTGCTACTGGGGTGAGATGGGACCTCATTGTGGTTTTGATTTGCATCTTCTTATTGCCATTGATTTTGAGCATTTCTTCATTTGTCTGTTGGCTATGTGAATGCCTTTCTCTGTGAAAAGTCTTTCCATGTTTTTTTCCCCATTTTGTAATTGGGTTATCAGTCATTTTTTCCCCCTTCTTTTCTTGTGGAAGCCCTGTAGGATTCTGTAAACTTTTGTTATGTGGCCCTTGTCTGAGATGTTGTTGCCTAATATTTTTTCCCAATTAGTAGGTTTTCTTTTCAACCTACTGGAAAAAGTTTTTGATGCGCACAGGGATTTTATCTTAGAAGGTCTTATTTATCAATTTTATCCTCTCCTGGTTGTATATTTCTGGCTATATTTGTCAGTTTCTTTACACCATAGGCTAGGCTGTCTAAACTTGATCCCACTTTGTTATGATCTTTATGACTTTGGGCTTTACCATTAGGTCTCTGTTCCACCTGGAGTTGATTTTTGTGGATGATGTGAGGTTTGGAATCTACTTCAGCTTTCTGCAGGTTGTTGTTGTTGTTCTTGTTATATGCCATTGAGTTGCCTGCGATTCCTAGTGACCCTATGTACAACAGTCCTAAACCCTACTCTATCCCTTGCCAATTTTATTGTCTCACACACCTATCCCCATTACCCTAGTGACGGAATCAATCCATCTCATCAAGGTTCTTCCTCTTCTACACTGTCCCTTTGCCTTCCCAAGCATAATATCCCTCTCCAAGGACTGATCCTACCTTGCAACATGTCCAAAGTATGTCACATAGAGTTTCAGAATCCTTACCTCCAAGGAGCAGCCTGGCTTCACCCTCTCCAGGATGAACTTGCTTGTTTTCTTAGCAGTCCATGGTATATTCAATACTCTTCTCCAGCACCACAGCTCAAAGGCATCAATTCTCCTTCTATCATCCCTAGTCTCTGATGCCTAGCAAGTAATTGCAAAGACCATGGTCTGGATCAGGAGCACTTTAGTCTCCAGATTGACATAGTTACTCTTCTACTTTGGAGAGGTCAGTGCAATTCGTCTTTTCATTTCCTGGCTGCTGGTATCAAGAGTGTTGACTCTAGAGCCAAGCAAACTGATGCTGTCAACAATCTCAGTCTCTTCATCATCCATCATGATGCTGCCAGTCAGGCCGGTGGTGGGAATCTTTGTTTTCTTGATATTGAGCTTCAATCCATATTGAAGACTGCAGTCCCTGACCTTCTGCAGCAAGTGCTTCAGGTCCTCCTCCGTTTCAGCAAGCAGGGTTGTATCATCTGCACAGCGTAGATTGTTGAAGAGTCTGCCTCCAATCTTGATGCTACATTTCTCCTTATAGAGCCCTGCCTTCTGGATAATCTGTTACTCCTTAGTTTGAAAAGATATGGAGACAGGACACATCCCTGATGCACACCCTTTCCAATTAAGCAGTCCAGTATTGCCAGTGGCATTGTTTAAGGCCGAATCTACTATTTACTTTTAGTTATTGCGAATACTGTCTTGTGAGATATTCTTACTTTGAACCTAAGTGCAACCAGGATGTTCCTCAGAGGCAAGGATGGTGAAACTTTGTCTCACATATTTTGAGCCTGTTGTAAGGGTGGGTCAGTCCTTAGAAAAAGACATCATGCTGGGAAAGGTGGAGGATCAGAGAAAGAGGAAGACCCTCAACAAGACACAGTGACTATAACTAAGGGCTTGCATGTTAGAGATAGTGAGGATGGTGCCAGTGAGGGCATGGTTCAGATCTGTTGTTCATAGAGTCACTGTGGGTAGTTGTTGACTCTATGGCACCTTACAACAGCCAGTGTGAATTTATTATGTGAATCAGGTAAGCATGGCTTGACTAGCGAACAGAGCCAGTAGACACACACACAAATCAATAGAAATAACACACACAACAGAATTTGGCTGTGGACACCTCTCAAGGAGTTGATGATTGGATGGCTCTGGACACCTAGTTCTTCACTACCAGTTGGGCTGCTCTCCCTGAAGACAGTTATAGAGGAGTCTGAAGAAGGACTGTCTGCTGACTCGTGGTCAAGGCTCTGCTCCCACTTACCTCCCTAGAATCTCCAGTTCAACTTTGCCCTGTGGACTATTGGAAAAAAGAAAGTATAATCTGACCCTGTAGTGGGAACATAAGTAGGAATTAGGACTAATCAGCATCTCTTACTCTTTAGAGTTCTGTTGTGCAATCTAATCTGTTGCCATTTCAGATAATATTTACAGGTAGAAGAGCAAAGGGGCAGCAGATTATCTCATATGCATATGCTTTTCTTTTAGTCTTCCTTCTCTCCTCCTCCTCCTCTTCAAGCTTAGGGAGCAAGATCATAATTCAGCTCATCTGCTTCTCTGAGTAGACAGGTTACCAGGACTTGATGATGCTCCAAGTGGGCCTTGGATTTCGAGCATTACCACATAGCTCATAGTGACTCCTGTTGTTTTTGAGATCATGAGGGCTATGACATAATGCATGTAAACGGCTTAGTATGGTGTCTGTCACAATACTGTGTCAGAATACTTGGAGACTGTTGGTGGTAGTGGTAACAGCAATGATTTAACAATGATGTTATTAAAAATGTGAATATTATATAATCTTAATAATGACGTCAACGCTTGCCTGTTTTTAATTTTAGGAATACAAATTGGCCCTTCTGCAGTGCTTTGGAAGATACCTTTCCCAGTTCAATGCCGACTTTGATGAGACTAAAGCAGATGTGACGCAATTCACCACTGCCTTTTTCCCAAAAGGCTTTGGAGACAAAAATGCTGAACTTACAGTAAGATAAAAGAAATAGCAAATGTTTCTACATTTTATTACTAGCTCTACAATGTCTTCTTTAGTTGACAGATGGATATCTTTTATTTTCTTTGTAGGGCATATAGGTGTGTGTTATAAATTGTTTAACATTAAGATAATTTCTACCATTGACTCATTCATTGTTCCATTGCCATATGTTAATTTCTCTATGTTATCATCTTATAGACTCAGTACAGTTTTAAGGGATGGATCATTTTATGCCTGTTTCACAGATGAGGAAACTGAAGCTTATTATAAGTTAAGAAACAAGCACTGAAGCGAGACATAGGGCTAGTGTTTGAAGCCTGATAGGTCTGACTTTACAGCATGGGTTATTCCAGACTTAATTCAAGGCCTTGGGAGCTGCATATCATTAATAAGCAGGAAAGATCAAAGCATGTTTGCAGAATATTAATCAGTTCACTTTGTACCAGAAGAACTTGAGCGAGACTGCTGGGGAAATAAGCTCATTATTGTAGGCTAGATACAGTTTCATTGGGAAGAGTTGTTGTGTTATTGTGTACCATTGAGTCAGAACCAACCCACAACAGACCCTCCAACTGGGTGACTTTAGGATTGCAGTGCAATTTCTTACTACTCGGCCACCAGAGCTCCTACCACCTTACTACAGGCTCCAGTCTCTCTTTTTCACTGTGATATGTTCGCCTGGCCTCCCCGCCTTTAGCTAGTGTGTTGGTGAGACCATCTCTCTGCAGAGCTTTTATCCTGGACATATGTGTGACTCAGTCTCACTTTCTTAAGGTCTCTTCCAAATGCTTTTTATTTTTCTTTTTAGCACTTGTTGTTGTGTACTATAGAGTTGGAACCAACCCGAAGCTGACCCTCCAGCGAGTTTTCAGAGGCCTTTAATCGCATGGGAGGAGATTGCCCATCCTTCTTCTGTGCTGGTGACCTTGAACCTTGTTCTTTTGAGATTGCAGTACAGCTTCTTGCCACTAGGCCACCAGAGTTCCCATTAGAGCTTATTATCAGCCATTATATTTTTATATAGTTATTATTGTTTGCTTTCCTCACTCAACTGTGACCTGGAATTCCAAGAGTGAGATAGCTGTGCTGCTATTGCATAGAGCAGTGCCTGGCATTTTACAGATGCTCAATAAACATTGATTCTATAGATGTGCACATGATATAGTCATCAAA